CTGTTTTTTTTTTCATAAAACAGCAATTTTTTAACAAATGAAGTAAGTCCAGCTGCAGATTGTACAGATGTGCAACTTTGCAGGTAGTTTAAAGGCATGATATTAAAGGATTTTTTTTTTACTTTAAGCAATGAATAATGACTGCCCTTTTGGCATGGGCAGTACCCATGTACCCATACCCCTTTTATGGCCAATAACTTGCATATAATCCTTCAAAATGGGCACTTTTGAATTTAGTAGTTTGAGTCCCATAAACTTGCATTGAGTTTGAAGTTTGTGGTCAAACATTCATTAGGTTCAAACATTCAACTGGAAACCAAACACAGGGGTGTTCGGCCCAGCACTAGCAGGCAGGGGGTTGTGTTTAGCTAAGAAAACCTCTCCTCCCCTACTGAAGATTCCTGGAAAATATGACATAATTTGCCTAGGCAAGAAACCAGGAAGTAACTGAAGAAATGTAAAAAAAAGTTGAACACAAGTAAATATGAGATACTTTCCTATCTATTTACTAATGCTAGCAGCATAAGGATTAAGAATAGTCCATGTTGATTACGAGAGCGGAGTTCCACTTTAACTTTAGAAAGTAAAAAAAACAAACCAGGGAAAATTTAATTTAATTTCTACATGACCTTTCATTCTGAGGACATGTCTGAAAATGCATCCAGCTGAAAATATTATCTGGGAGTGTTTTGTTAATTACTATGGCATCACAACACCATCAGCTTTGCAAATAACTCAATAATGCTTTTGCATAACCTAAGTTAAAGGGTAAGGGAGGCAGAAAATCGTGGAATATGAGATATAAGAACAGGGAAGTTAATGATAGCAAATTCATAGTTTTTGTTATCCTTAAGAGTGGATTCAAACTATAGCAGTGTGGGAAATCGCATGTGATTCAAACAGGAATCACACCGCATTCCTGTTCAAATCACATGCGATTATTTGCAGTGCAATATGAGCCCATTCATTTTGTTTAGGCTCAATTTTCACTGCACCCACACAAAAAAGATGCAGGAACCTTTTTTTTTTTTTTTCGCCGTACCAGATTCGGTTCACACCCATGCGATCTGATTCTTGCAATCGCATTGAGTTTTGCAATCTGTTTTGGATTGTCATTAATTTAACATTGACACTGCTAGAAGATCGCATGCATGGAGTGGTATTTCAATGTGGTGCAGGAAACACTCAGGATTCGTTGCATTTCCTGCTCCACATGTCTGTGAATCAGGTCTAAAGAGGTTTTCACTCACTTTTTTAACGAATGCTCATCCTAAGGGCAAACCACAGTTTTTCAATGATTGGTTATTAACATTTTTTAATATTCTCCAAAAGTAAGTTTTTTGTGTGTGTTTCCCTACACTTCCATTTCCAGCCTCCTAGGTGAGTGATGTAAGTAGGCTATCCAATTGTCTCCTGGGATATCTATGTCATTGATCCCAAGCATCTTCAGGCAACCTGTTATCAACAACGTGCACCGTTATTACTGCCCTGGCACAACACTGGGAGGTGCATGCTGGATAGCCAGTTTCATGAAATCCTGGAATTCAATGGGAAAGCAGCTTCAAATGCCCACGGTTCTAATGGCCACCACCAGAATTTATGGAGAGAGAATAAAATACAGGTTTTAAAGGTAAACATTATATAGAACTTGTATGACAATATCCATGTAGATGAAGCGCTTAGCAAGAATCACAAGGATGTTTTTTTTTTTTGGATTTGAAGACTAGCTCCTTTTTAACTATTGTTAATAACATTATTTATTAATCACTTGACCTCCGTAAAGTTTTACCCCCTTCAAGACCAGATCATTTTTTTCTATTCAACAATGTGCTACTATAATTGGCAATTTCTCAGTCATGCAACCCTGTAACCAATTGATATTTGTATCATTTGTATAATTTTTGTTTTATACAAATAGAACTTTATCTTGGTGGTATTTGATCAACACTGGGTTTATTTTCTATTAGATAAACAAAAAAAGACTGAAAATGTTGAAAAAAAACCCAATATTTTCTATTTTATGTTATAAAACATATCCAATAAAATCCAAATGTCTTCATAAATTTAGACCAAAACATATTCTGCTACATGTCTTTTGTAAAAAAATAAATCAAATAAGTGTATATTAGTTGGTTTGTGTGAAAGTATAGTGTCTACAAACTCTGGTATATATACTGGAATTTAAACAGCTATAGACACTATACTATTAATAGCGGTGATTAGCGTGTGACAGTGATAATGTGTCTGGCAATCTTGCACTAACAGACACTGGCTGGGAGGGACACTAACTGACTAACTGACACTGATGTCGCTAGTGACACTAATACAGTGATCAGATATAATACTGTACTCTGCGTTAATGACATTGGCTTGGAAAGGGTTACCATTAAGGGTCAATGAAGTGGTTAACTGTGTGCCTAAAAAGTGTAATATATATAATCTTTGCTGCTTTTACTCATAGATCTGGTTGTTTTTTCTCCCTGTTTTTCAGGAAGAAGAAACAGCCAGATTATTGTTCTGTGTCCAGAGGTCTGTGTGGTTGTAAACACAGAACTCTGTATTGTGATTAGTCGCACCCAAGCAGCAGGTTTATAGCTGTAATCATTGGCTGAAGCTTGCTAACAAACTTGTGATGTGTCCAATCACAGCTCAGGTCATCAGAGGGCGCATGCACATGTGCCTGAAACCTGGAAGAAAGGAAACAAGTAGTCTAGCATGGCTGTGCCATCCATCCACAGTAGATGTACTCTGGGTGGGTGGCAAGAGGTTAAGGACAGTCAGTAAAGTAACAATATAAAGCTTCAGGGGTTTCACTATACCAAAAATCTGTGTTTTTTATATAATCAATTGAATTACAATATTTATACAGCTCAGTGCAACACTGGATCCATACTTAAACCTCCTGTGAATTAACAAATACTATTATTACCTGCTGTTTAAGATCACAATATCAAATTTCAGCAAAAAAAGTTATTGTACACTAATAATATAATACTGTATGTCCCAATAATATGACATTCCTAGTTTGTTATACTACCATAAACACAATAAAGCAGGCCATAGGTGAATCAAGATTCGGTCAGTTCAGCAGAAACCAGGCATATTCCAATCTATCTGTGGACAGGCTCTTTGTACTGAGATCAATCTATCTTCAATACAACTAGCCTGTTGTTTTTTTTTATCACAAGATCACTGCAGGTGGCTATAGCCAGCAGCAGTGATCATTGTATTCTGATGGCTGGGAACCTTTCGCTGTCAGAATCCAATAGTGCAGTGGGAGGGATTCACTGACTGCGTTGATGGGGGAAATTGAGCAATTTATTTTCCTTCAATCCTTGGTATGCCTTAGCTTACCAAGTTAGTGAAGTGAAAAAAGAAAAAAACTGTATGGGGGGTGTAGGAGAATTGTACGTATGAAAGAACTATCAATGACACTAGACAAAGTCATTTTTTACAAACATGACAAACAACTGGAAACTACTACCATTGCTGACTTAAAACAGAAAAAATGCTAGCTGTCTGTCACTGCTATCTTGTGAGCCACTGAATTACAATAAGCATGCATGCTCAAACTTCTTCAGCATGTTTGTTTCAATTGCTCAGAAGTTTCAAATAATTTCAGCAATGGTAGCTCTAATGTTTCTAATATACTATATTTTACTTTAATGTATAAGAAGTAGTAAAGAGCGCCTTAGTAAAAACCAACAAGCTGCTATGCACAAAATAGATACCAATGACCTACGTAATAGACAATATATATGGAAGGTGCAGCGCTTATGAACAAAACATATGAAAAAGTCCCTGATGGATCAAGAAACCCAAGGATATGGGGTAGTCCCGTAAAACACACGTAAATATAATTGGTAGAGGTGACTTTGATATCCATGTTGAGGTGGTAATGAAGTGCGCACTCACCGGACGCGCATATTATTTGCGCCTTATGTGTAATAATCCTGCTGCCAGGTGATGGGTGGTCTTCCCTCTATTGGATCCTAGGTGAGTATTCCTTCTCCTCAGGAGGTCCCCCTATATGGTCCTAGAAGATGTTGTCACTCCAAATGGCCAGGGTGGTATGTGGTAATCCGTTCCTGGAGTGGGTCTGTGGACTAGAGCACTCCCCCAGGGGGCGACAAGAACACTCCAGCTGGTAGATAAAGATGGCCACCGGAGCTCCACATTGCTCCGGCGGCGTGACGTCACGGCGTGATGTGGCTCCTCCTGACGCGTATCATGCTTAAGCACGTCTTCAGAGGGGGGTCGCCAATAGGCATGGGATTGGCAAACAAAGGCAGTGGGTAGCTGGATACTGCCACTGAGGACACATACCGATGTAAAAGAAAATGTTTTTAAAAATAGGATTTGGTAGCAAGCAGATCTTTTAACCACATGCCTACAGGGCACTTCTACCCCCTTCCTGCCCAGGCCAATATTCAGCTTTCAGTGCTGTCGCATTTTGAATGACAATTGCGCGGCCATGCAACACTGTGCCCATATGAAATTTCTATCATTTTTTTAGACAGATAGAGCTTTCTTTTGGTGGTATTTATTGACCTCTGGGTTTTTTATTTTTTGCTAAACATACCAAAAACAACTGAAATTTTTTTTAAAAAACGTTTTTTCTTAGTTTTTATTATAAAATTTTGTAAAAAAGTGATTTTTCTCCTTCACTGATGTGCGCTAATGAGGATGCAGTGATGGGCACTGATAGGCTGCACTGATGGGCACTGATAGGTGGCACTGATGGGCACTGATGAGGAGACACTAGTAGGTGGCACTGATGGGCATTGACAGGAATCACTGATGAGCACTGAAAGGCAGCAATCATATATGGCACTGATAGGCGGCACTGATAGGTGGCACTGATAGGCGGCACTGACCGGCACTGTTAGGTGGCATTGACTGGCACTGTTAGGCAGCATTGATAAGTGACACTGTCGGGCACTGATAGGCAGCACTGACGGGCACTGATAGGCGGCACTGATGCGCACTGATAGGCAGCACTGACTGGCACTGATGGGTGGCACTAATTGACAGCACTGACAGGTGGCACTGACTGGCATTGATAGGTGGCACTGACTGGTACTGATAGGTGACACTGAAAGGCAGCTCAGATGGGCACTGATATGTGGCATTAATGTGCACTGGTAGGCACTGATATGTGGCATTGATGTGGCACTGATGGGCACTGGCAGGTGGCACTGATGAGCACTGACAGCTGGCATTGATGGACACTAACAGGTGGCACTGCTGGGGCTACACTGATCATCAGGGCACACTGATCATTAGTGCCCTGATGATCAGTGTACATGTCCCCTCCGAGGAATGCCGATTACTGGCTCTCCTCTTGAGCTATCAACGAGACAGCTCGTGAGGAGAGAAATGCCGATAACCGACATTTCCCTATTTACATGCGATCAGCTGTGATTGGACACAGCTGATCACATGACCGAGCCGACATCTTCGGGTCTTTCTGTTGATCGGTGATCTGCTGTGTCCGTGGGACACAGCGCACCACTGATTGCCGCGCTGCGCGCTCCCTAGAGCTGCACATGTGTGGTTACAGTGGGAGGATGTCATATGACGTCCTCCCAGAATGAGAGAACCGTCTTGCGCCCATCATTACCTTATATGACGGGCAGGAGGCAGTTAAAAAGGTTTAATGTGAGACATTAAAATGAGAATGCTTGGAAGATGACTTAAACCAACCTGTGAAGTGGTGCATCTGTAAGATGTACTACAACAAAAGTGAAATTCAAAGAAAGAAAAACTACTATTTGGCACTAAATGACATTTCCCTGTGAGTATGATTATTTGTTACAAATAATGGACTGCAATTCCAAGCCGGGCACGGCACTGGAGGACATGTACCAAGGCAAATACATTAAAAAATATACTGTTCTGTTATTTTAGCAAGATAAAGGGTAACAGTAAAATACACATTAAATACACAATAAATAACAGTGTTGGGGCATACTGTTAGGCACATGTGTAGACTGTTTCTTTCTTTTACAAAGGAAGAAATACCATTTACATTATCAGCCATTACATTACATTTGCCATAGCTTTGCTCTGTCTGTAAACAAAGTGGCTGAAGATTCGTCTCAACATCCATATTAGCCTAGATGAAAAAAAAAATTGGGAGTTTTCCCTAAAATACATAAAAAAGCTCTAAGACTGCTGCTGGGTGCTGCCATCTTGGATGAGACATCATCAGCTCAAAATCAGAACTATCACTCAAGTAACATGCTATAGAATTCCCTTTCACTTCTCCCTTGATTGCGACAAAAAAAGCTATGTAGGGAGATGAGGGGTGAAGGAGCCGGGACAGCACAGAAAAAATAGAAGAGAAAAAAGCTATGATGTGCAAAAGACGAGGATCTATTTAGGGATTAAAACTTGTCCATTCCCTAGCAGGTTCAGAGGCATGCTACAAGTGATCAAAAAGTTGTTTATGAAAATGCTGCAAGTAGTACTTGATTTTTCTGTTGCAACTTGTTTAAGTTGGTGACAGGGTGTCTTTAATTTTAAAAGTAACTGACACACTCATCCTTCATTTTGGATATATTATTAACTTTTATCCTTTCTAAGTTTATCTCTATATACCATATTAATAAAAAGTTCATAAATAAAGATAAAAAGAGAGCTTTGAGGTGAAATAGATTAAGTATAATGTGAACATATTAACATGCAACATAGGAATACAAAAGAAATAACTTAAAATAAGGTTCATATTTCAACTTTTGAAGCAATTAGAAAACCATTGATTAAAATACATATGGTCTATTCACAAGGTCATTTCTGAATTTTAAAACAGTGCAATAAAATAAATTTATTCAGCTGCTCCATCTGTCTTGTTCATTTTTACTAGAACTATCTGTCATATGCTTGAGGTTAATCACCAAACCCACCATACTGCTGTCCTCCATTACATCATAATTAGAGCAGGTAGCGAAAAGGAACAAAAACCTTAGACAATTATTCACATTTTCTAGTGGGAGCCAGATGTTACAGGTTATATTTCATTTAGTTTAGTGACAGATGCAATAATAGCCTCCATGTGGAGAGATCACATAGAAGCATCTATACCCCTCTAAGGGAAAAAGCATTATCTGAGTAACTTAGAGATGATCATGCATTATTTTAGTAGAATCATTTTAAAAAGCAATGAAATATTTAAAGCTGCATTCCAACACATATAAATTCCATCACTGAATACAGTTATACGTTTTTGCTTTAAATATGGCTAGTTTAGGTATCTGAATTGGTATTATTAGCTTTCAGCAATTCTCAATATAGTAGCACCCAATCTAAGAAAAAAAGGATTACCAATCTGTCCTTAGCGGGGCTCTATTGTTTTCCACAGTGTTGTTGGTCTAACAATGTGTGAGCATGCTTACAGGAGTTGGAGGCATGATATCATCAATATTCTGCTGTTCCTCTATTATCCCTTCAACAAACTAATTCATACATGCTGTTCTTATTTATTGCTCTAGAGTAGTGGTCTCCAAATTGCGGCCCATGGGCCAAATGCAGTCCTTTGCTTGCCTCTATCCGACCCTCAGAGTACTATTCCTCCCACTGCTACCAACAAGGAGGCACCATTTCTTCCACTGGCACCAACTATGGGGCATTTTTCCTTCCACTGACACTAATGGTGGGGCACAATTCCTCCCACTGATATAAATAAATAGGTACTATTCCTCCAACTAATACCAAGGATGGGGCACTATCCATCCCACTGACACTAATGATGGGGCACTATTCCTCCCCCTGACACCAGTGATGGGGCACTATTCTTCCCACTACCACCAATCATGGGGCACTATTCCTCCCACTATTATCAATGATGGGGCAATATTCCTCCCACTAATACCAATGATGGGGCACTATTCCTCCCCCTGACACCAATGATGGGGCACTATTATTCACAGTACCACCAATGATGGGGCACTATTCCTCCTACTAATGTCAATTATGGGGCAATATTCCTCCCACTAATACCAATGATGGAGCACTGTTCTTCCAACTAATACCAATGACTGGACACTATTACTCCTTCCACTGACTACAAGAACTGTCATTTTTTTTATTCCTAATGACACTGGGACATTTTCTATTCCCACTGGCCACTCTGGCCCTCCTAAAGTCTGAAAGATAGTAAACCGGCCCTTTGTTTAGAAAGTGATTTGCTGCAGCCTTCCTCTCCCCAAAATGTGTTGCTGGGCTCTCCTATCCTTCTGGGTAGCCCAGTAACTAAGCCAGACAGGTACAGTAGGCGGATATCAAAGAGCATTCATTCCCTGATCTCCTTTGTGGCTGATGAGCATTTTGTCACTTCTGGTTTCATAGCAGTCACTCCCTGGCTACTGTAGCTGGGGAAGCGGCTAATCAAGCATCTGTGCATGATTAGCTTCAGTGAAGGGCAAGTTATGCATTGGGAGTCTAATAGGTACATGATGTCTCTGTATACAACATGTTCACCCCATCTTTCATATTTTATGAAAACAAAATGGGTATTATATTGTTTTTGTGTACTAAAACTAATTTTAGTGATTTTTTTTTCTAAAAATATCCATTTGATAAACAGCTGCACAAATATTGTGCAACATAAATTATTAAAGCAGCCACTGTTTTATTCTCAAGGGCCTTTATTTTTAAAAAATATGTAATGTTTGCGGGTTCCAAGTAATTTTCTAGCAAAAAAGGCTGATTTTAACATGCATGTGAAAAATGAAAAGCATCTAAAAGAGAAGTATGGGGTTATTCCCCCCCACCCCCCCTATTATACTTAGCTAGGTAGATGAAGCATCGGTCCCATGCTTCATCTGTCCCCTGCCGGCTCTAAGGGAATAGCTTAGTGACCACATGACCACTGAGCTCTGAGTTCTCCTCTCTGCTCTGAGCAGAGAGCAGGACTGTCAGTCACCATTGTCTGATCAGCACCCCCCCCCCCCAGCAGCACTCACTGGAGTGCTCGACTGTGGAGGGAGCAGCTTTCTCAGGCTCTCAGCGCTTTGGTTAGAGGCTGGGCTATGTACCACGCCAGATTCTTGGGTGGATCCCGGCTGTGAAGTTGGCATCTTTCCCCAGTCTGGACTGGCTGAGTGATGTCAGCTGACAGCAGACTTCGGCCCGCTGTCAGATTAAAACGGGACACAGAAGTGCAGAACGAACTGCACTTCTGTGATCTACATGAGAAGTACAGCTAAAAGCTTAATTAGTATTTTTAGATTGCTTCTCTTAAGAGCATCCTACATATTTGTTTTTTATGGTAGACTCTTCAAGTCACAGGAGCTCATAATTAATTTCCAGACTCAGGGGTTTATTTACTAAAGCTGGTTCACTTGAAATTTTGTGTACTTCTGCAAAGAAACCAATCAGCTTCCAGGTTTTATTGCTAAAGCTTAAAGTGGATGTAAAGGCTGAAAGTTTTTTACCTTCATGCAGCTCCCTCAGCTCCCCAATACTTATCTGAGCCTCTTCACAATCCAGTGATGTGAATAACAGCCTCGGCTGTCCCGGGTCTCTGCCTTATCATTGGCTGAGACAGCAAGCGGCAGCCATTGGCTCCTGCTGCTGTAAATTACAGCCAGTCAGGCAATGAGTAGAGGGGGAGGTGGGGCCAAGCTGTGGCTCTGTATATGAAAGGACACACTGAGCAGCTGGTGCCCCCATAGCAAGCTGCTTGCTGTGGGGGCACCTGACAGACAGGAGGAACCAGGAGGGCCTGCAGGGACCCGATTAGAGGAGGATCCAGGCTGCACTGTACAAAACCACTGCACACAGTAGGTAAGTATGGCCATGTTTATTTATTTTTTTCAAAAATGAACCTTTTGAACTACTTTAATTGAACCATCTGAGGTTAGAAGTGGATTAGCTACCCTACACATGTGCATGGGATTCTGAATGAACCAGCTTTAGTGAATCTCCCCCAAAGTGTACTAAAAGCTGCACATATCAGAGTAAAACTAGATACTTGTTTTGCTAAAATGCATTCATCACAAATATTTCTTTAAACAAAATTGCTAAAAGTTACCATCTCTTTTAGGGAAAAAAATAAATAATGCTATACTGTTTTAGTTCAAAGAGCTGACTATGAATATCTACATTTGTACAAATGAATACTTTTCTTCATACAGTATATATATATATATATATATATATATATATATATATATATATATATAAAATTTATTTTTAAAAAATGAATTGCAGGAGCTGACAGTTTATTTCCAGGCTCACTATATTCAAAGATGACTAATTTAGGAAAATGTAGAATTTTCTTTTCATAAAAATCTTTCTTGCTGCAAATTCAGCAGCTGACAATTTATTTAAAAACTAAGAGTATTTTTTATTTAAATGGCGACTTCCTGTTGTAGTTCCATGTGTTACATAGTTACCATATATACATAGGTGTGACAATCAATTCCAGGAACTCTGGTGAATTAGCACTGTGGTGATGAGTCACACAGCCATTCATACACAAGCGTGTTCTGACATATTC